GGGGTCTCGCTCAGGCTGGTTTTGAACTCCTGACCTTGAGCAATCCGCCCGCCTCGGCCTCCCAAAGTGCTAGGATTACAGGCGTGAGCCACCGCGCCCGGCCTTTTTTTTTTTTTTTTTTTTAATGAGAGCATCGTAGAGTCATCATGGGGTCTATGACCCTAACCAGAGTAGGGAACACCAGCCCTGGGCTTACAAGTAGTTTTTCTCTAACCTACTAGTTTCATCACTAACAACAAGGCATTTCTCTTTTCTCCCTTCCACGCAGAGAACTAGCGAGTGATAAGCTGTATGACTGGTGGCAAGACTTGTGCTCCGTGTTCACAACAAACGAGAAGTTGGAAGTCCTGGCTGTGACAGACAGCGTCATCGAGTCTCCTGTCGTGAAGATTCTTGCTGATGCACTGAAACACCCTCAGTGTAAACTACAAAAACTACTGTGAGTACAGAACAAACCCCGGTTGGAGGACATTCCATGGGAACAGATTGGTTCCCATTCGGTTTCTTCACTCCCTCCCCACTCGCACTAGACTTCCAGGAGGCACCCATGTCCGCCCCATGACAGAAGGTCCAGAGTGGCCATTATTACCGTGCAGCAAGAGTCACGAGGTGCTTGGCCAGTGACACCACCCACTCTGGAGCTGGGCTGCTGGCCCAGCTCCTGTCTTACCAGATACTAGCTTTAGAGTGCTTTGGAATGAGTGGTGTGTACAATGGGTCATTGGATTTCTGACATCTCAGCCCTGATAATGCCTCAAGGTATCTGCCCATAAAACAATCACATTATGGAGATTAAATGCAGTCATGCATGCGGCACCTATGGAACTGTGCCTGAGCAGTAAGTGCTGCATAATCCCAGTGCGTAGTTGTTCTTCTCTGAAGGGACACTGCTTCATAGAAGCCATGTGCTAAGTAAGCACTTTGCAGCTGTACCGCTGCACTCCATGGAAGTAGGTACCATCCTCCCGATTGTTCAACTAAGTGAGAACCAGAGAAGTTAAGTGACTTGTCTAAGATCACACAGCTGGTAAGCTTTAAGAAAAATGCTACATCCCAGAGATCCTAGAGCTTGTCCCCTCCACCACACGCTGTGCTTCTCTGCTGCACAATTATGAGCAGATCCATGGAGCGAGCTACACCAGAGAGGGTACGTAGGAACTGGGCTGGAAAGGAGATTTACATGGAGGAGGGGAGAAAATTATTTTCAATAAGAAACACTGTAATGGCAAGCATTTTTGCCGTGCTCGCCATCGGTGCTTTGCACATTAATGCTCTAAAAACTCACCCTTTAAAAGTTAGGTATTCCCATTTCACAGATGAAGAAACTGGGGCATGAGGTTACATAGCCACTAGGCAGTAAAATTTGGATTTAAATTGAACCAGTTGGCTCCAAACTAGTTCTCTTAACCTCATATTCCCTCCTTCCCTCCCTTCCCCCGTCTCGATTTTAAGATCCAGAAATCCAATAATCCATCATATGAACCACCAACGCCTTCCTTGACATAGGCCACCAGGCATCACATGGCCCCTGGCCAGCGTTTGACCTGTTTTCTCTCCTGTCATCATAATGGTTACTGTTGGTCCACACTTACTGAGCACCTACTCTGTGGCAAGAACTGTGGAGAATTTCACATGGGTTATGTAGATTAACTCTCACAACCATCCTAAGGAGAAAATGTTTTATGTGGACTTGAAATTGAAGCTTAGAGAGCTCAAGTGACTTATACAAGGTCATCCAACTAGGAAGGTGGAGATGAGATGAGAACCCAGTTCTGAGCTCTGTACTGCACAGAAAGGGCCCCCTCATATTTTTCATGGACTGATTGAATGTATAAGAACTAATTGGCATTTGATAAAAGTCAACATCCCTTAATGATAAAAAAAAAAAACTCAAAAACTAGGCATAGAGAGAATAAATGAACTTATCTCAACATGATGAAAACTGTATATGACAGACCCACCCACAGACAGGCTTGTACTGAATTGGGAAAAATGAAAGCTTTTCCTTTAAGATCCGGAGCAAGACAAGGTTGTCCACTTTCACCACTATCATTCAACAGAGTACTAGATGTTCTTATCCAGAGCAATCAGACAAGAGAAAGAAATAAAAGGCATCCAAATTGGAAAGGAAGAAGTCAAATTATCCTTGTTTACAGATTATATGATCTTATTTCTAGAGAAGCCTAAAGATTCCACACACAAAACTATCAAAACTGATAAACAAATTCAGTAAAGCTGCAGGATACAAAATCAATATACAAAATTCAGTAGCATTTCTATATGCCAACAGCAATCTGAAAAGGAAATCAAGAAAGTAATCCCAATTACATTGTACAGTGGCTAAATCAAACTATTATAGCTACAAATAAAATACCCAGGAATAAACTTAACCAAAGAAGCAAAAGATCTCTACATAGAAAACTATAAAACAATGATGAAAAATTGAAGAGGATACACACACACAAATTGAAAGATACCCCATGCTCATAAATTGTAATAATATTGTTAAAGTATCTATATTACCCAAAGAAATCTATGGATTCAATACAATCACCATCAAAATACCAATGACATTCTTCACAGAAATAGAATGAATAATCCTACAATTTGTATGGAACCACGAAAGATCCAGGATAAATAAAGCCATCCTGAGTACAAAGAACAAAACTAGAGGGATCACACTGTCTGACTTCAAATTACACTGCCAAGATATATAACCCAAACAGCATGGTACTGGCATAAAAACAGACACACAGACCAATGGAACAGAATAGAGAACTCAGAAATAAATCCACGCATCTACAGTGAACTTATCTTTGTCAAAAACATACAGTGGGGGAAAGAACAGTCTCCTCAATAAATGGTGCTGGGAAATCTGAAAATCCATATGCAAAAGAATGAAACTAAACCCTTATCTCTTGCCATATACAAAAATCAAATAAAAATGGATTAAAGACTTAAATATAAGACCTGAAACTATGAAACCACTTGGGAAACACTTCAGAACATTGGTCTGGGCAAAGATTTATTGAGCAATACACCAATGCACAGTCAACCAAAGTAAAATTGGACAGATGGGATCACATCAAGCTAAATAGCTTCTGCACAATGAAGGAAACAGTGTAGAGACAACTCACAGAAGGGGAGAAAATATTTGCAAACTACCATCTAACGAGATTGATAACTATTAATAGAATAAGGAGTTCTAACAGTTCAGTAGGAAGAAAATCAAATAATCCAATTAAAAGATGGGCAAAGGATTTGAATAGACATTTCTCAAAAGAAGACATACAGATGGCCAACAGGGTACGAAAAAATGCTCAACATCATTAGTCATCAGAGAAATGCAAAAGAAAACTGCAATGAGATATCATCTCACCCCAGGTAAAATGGTTTTAATCAAAAAGACAAGCAGTAACAAATGCTGTGAGGCTGTGGAGAAAGGGGAGCTCTCCGACACTGTTGGTGGGAATGTAAATCAGTGCAACCACTATGGAGAACCAGCATGGACGTTCCTCAAAACACTAAAAATAGAACTAGCATATGAACAAGAAATCCCACTGCTGGGTATATATCCAAAGGAGAGGAAATCAGCATATAGAAAAAATATACACACACATATTTATTGCAGCACTATTCACAATAGCCAAGGTATGGAATCAGCCTAAGTGTCCATCAATGGATAAATGGATAAAGAAATTATGGTATATATACACAATGAAATGCTATATGGCCACAAAAAAGAATGAAATCCTGCCATTTGCAACAACATGGATGGAACTGAAGAACATTGTGTTAAGTGAAATAAGCCAAGCACAGAAAGACAAATCTCACATGTTTTCACTCATAAGTGGGAGCTAAATATTAAAAATGATCTCATGAAGACCAGACAGTAGAATGATGGTTACCAGAAGCTGGGAAGGATAGGATGGGGGGCATAAAGTGGGGATGGTTAATGGGTACAAAAATATGGTTAGATAGATTGAATGATATTTGATAGCATAACAAAGTGACTATAATCAACAATAAACTAGGGTTTGCTTTAAAATAACTAAAAGAATAGAAATGGACTATTCCTAATACAAAGAAATGTTAAATGCCTGAGGAGATGGATACCCCAATTATCCTGATTTGGGTAATTCACATCATGTGACTGTATCTAAACACTGCATGTACCCTATAAAGATGTATAACTATTATGTACCTATAATTTTTTTAAACTTACAGAAAAAAAAATAATTAGCCACCTCAGTTGTGGTGATGGTTTCAGGGATGTATGCATATGTCTAAACACATCAGATTACGTACAACAAACATGCACAGGGTTTTGTATATCAAGCACACATCAATAAAACTTTTTTTTTTTTTTTTACTTAGCAGAAGGTGGAAAAGGAGATCCGGCAGTGAACACAGGCATTGGATGTGCCAGGCAGAGCTGTGTCCCTGGTTTTAGAAAAGGAGTGTGATTTTAGGAGGGTCCTGATGCGAGGTGTGGGGGACAGACCTGCAAACCCTCCAGATACAGGATGACAGTCCCTTAGCTTTAGGGGGGACTCACAGACTCCCCTCAATCTCTTTCCAGTCCTGTTAGCCATTCATTCAGACTTCACTGTCTCACCATCACAGGACCTGTGTGATGGCACATCTGTGCCGGCCTTCAGCGCCTGTGTCCTGAGTTCAGTGGTGAACTCGCTGCGGCGCAGCCACGCCTGTCTCGGGAGCTGCTGTGGCTCCCGGGGCTGGTTTGTGGCCGCAGCTCTCTGACTGCGGACGGGCCCCTGGTGAACCAGATACGCTTCCCTCTCCAGCTTGCAGCGTGTGGATAGCACCTTGTTGAGTGAAGACTTCACCCGTGTTTTGATTAAGAACCAGCATCTGAGATCCTTGGAAATACGGTGCATGGAAGTGGATCGCAAGGCCATGGAGCTTCTAGGTCTAGCACTGAAATACCCCCAGTGCCGGCTGCAGTGTCTGAGGTACGATGTGAGATGGGGAGGGAGGCAGACCTGCCACCCAGACCGTCTTTTCAGGGGTGGCGATTACCATGTTTTCCCAAAAATAAGACAGGGACTTATGTTTATTTTTCCTCAAGAAGACACCCTAGGGCTTATTTTCAGGGGATGTGTTATTTTCCCCTCAAAGCCTCAGCTTGCAGCACACACAGGATGGCCGAGGCCTGACAAGGGGAGCCGACTTTGTTGGTTCGTGGTCTTTGCCGTTCCAAGACGAAATGCATGGGTTGTGCAGATATGCTGCGTAGCCACGCCCATCACTAGGTCTTATTTTGGGGGTAAGGCTTATATTGCACAAATACTTAGAAATCCTGCTAAGGCTTTTTTTAGGGTAAGTCTTATTTTTGGGTAAGTCTTATTTTTGGGGAAACACAGTACATGCTCAGATCTCATTTCCTTTGATCTGCGGTTACTTTCATTCCACATTCATGGTACAATCTGACAGTGTTCTAGATCTCTCTGACATAGGAAAACCTGCCCCCAGTGGTGAGCTGGAGCCAGCTCATGTTGGCTTGCAAGCTTCAAACATGTCCATCCCCCAGATGGTGCATACCACACTCATTATGTATGTATATACCCATCCCCTCCTACCCCCTCCCATCTATTGTTATTGCTATGTGTGCACTTAGGTGTTGATCAGTGAAACCAATTTGATACTGAGTACATGTGATGCTTATTTTTCCATCTGGGGATACTTCACTTAGTAGAATAGGTTCCAGCTCTATCCAGGATAATACAAGAGGTGCTATATCACCACTGTTTCTTGTAGGCGAATAGTACTCCATGGTACAAATATACCACATTTTATTAATCCACTCATGTATTGATGGGCACTTGGGTTGTTTCCACATATTTGCAATTGTGAATTGTGCTGTGATAAACATTTGAGTGCAGATGTCTTTATTATAGAATGTATTTTGTTCTTTTGGGTAGATTCCCAGTAATGGAATTGCTGGATCAAATGGTAAATTTACTTGTGTCTCTATGAGGTATCTCCTTATTGCTTTCCACAGAGGTTGCACTAATTTGCAGTCCCACCAGGAGTGTAAGAGTGTTCCTATCTCTTCACATCCATGCCAACATTTGTTGTTTTGGGACTTTTTGATAAAGGGCATTCTCTCTGGAGATAAATGATATCTCATTGTGGTTTTGATTTGCATCACCTGATGATTGGAGATGTTCAGCATTTTTTCAGACGTTTGTTGGCCACTATTTTGTCTTCTTTTGAAAATTTTATGTTCATGTCCTTTGCCCATTTTTTTGATAGGGTTGTTTGATTTTTTCTTGCTTATTTTCCTGAGTTCTAAATAGATTCTAGTTATCAGCCCTTTATAGGATGTGTAGCATGTAACTATTTTATTATCCCATTCTGTAGGATGTATGTTTGCTCTCATAATAGTTTCTTTGGCTGTGCAGAAACTTTTTAATTTGATCAGGTCCCATTTATTTATTTTTGTTGTTGCTGTTATTGCCTTTGGGGTCTTCTTCATAAATTCTTTGCCTAGGCCAATATCTAGAAGAGTATTTCCAACGTTTTCCTCTACAATCCTTACAGTTTCATGCCTTAGGTTTAAGTCTGTTATCCACTGTGAGTTGATCTTTGTGAGGTGAAAGGTGTGGATTGTGTTATTTTACTGTTTTACTATTATCAATGCCAGGGTTCAGCAAACTTTTTCTGTAAGAAGCCAGATGAAAGATATCTTTGGCTTTGTGAGCCACACAGTCCCCGTCACAGTGGCTCAGCTCTGCTGTCGCAGTGCTAAGGTGGCCGCAGCCCACATGCAAATGAATGGGCACAGCTGTGTTCCAATAAAACAGTGTGTGGACACTAAAATTTTCATTTAAATTAATTTTCATGTGTCACAGAATATCGTTCTTTTAATGTTTTTTAACCATTCAACTATGTTTGTTTTTTTTTTTTTTAACACTTGTTAAAACACAGTTCATGAGCTGTTCAAAACCAAGTGGCAGGCCAAATTTGGCCCAGGGGCACAGTTTGCCGACTCCTGGTCTGTGCTCTGGAGGTGGTGAATGCACACTGCGTCTGTGGGTGTAGACCCTGTGTGGGGCATACAGGTGCATACCTCTTCCCAACTCCTCACTCAGCAGGTGCCCACTGGTGGCTTAAAGTCAGCTGTGGTGAGAGTATTTATACCATGGACATTGGCAAACACTGCACATCAGGCCTTTCTTCTCCCAAGAGTCAGTAGTTAAACGTGTTTACCAGCACACATCTGCTTAGCACCCACTTACTGACCTTTCTGTAGGTTAACTGCAGGGAGATTAGCTACTTCTCCCCACAAAAAGTGGATCCCTTAGGGCAGGGGTCATTGCCAAGGGCAAGAAAATAATAGAATATAGAAAATAATGGAAATAAAAGAATACACAAAGACAAATGTATAGTTTTATAGATTTATATAAAGAAATTGGGAAAGTGAGGGTACTCAGCAGACTCCACAATATCTCCATCAATTGTGAGGCCAGGAATGGAGTTTCACATAGGTATTTATAACTATAGATATCGGTTGCCAGGGGTAACAGGTTTACATAACAGGTAGTTCAACTGTCAGGGGTAACAGGTTTATATAATAACAGGTAGTTCGTTTTGAGTTAAAAGTTTTTCAAAGGGCTTCTAAAGATTCCTTAATAAACTCTATATATGTGAACAAACAGTTACAACATCTTTCAAAGATAAACTTCTAAGTTCTAAGAGATAGCTATCACTTATCAGATGGGTAACACAGAGATATAGTGGCTCCATATTCCTTTATCTAGTTATCATGGATGGAGATAGGAGTGAGCAGGAACTGACCCTTGGGCTAATTGCTTTTAGCCACAGGTATCCGTCTCTCGGGCAGGGCACTCTGTTTGGCTCTCAACCTATGGCTCCATGCAAACCTGCTTTGTTGTTCAAAGCAGGAGAAAACCACAGGTTTAAAATCTGAGAACCCATCTTGGAATGCAGCTGCTACCCGGGAACTTTGAGACGCCCTCCTGAGGCAAGGCAGCCTTTGATATGCAAACTAACACGTTCACATATTCTTTCAGGCCAAAGCCCTGCAAAACTCCTGAAATAATTTCTGTTTCTAATATAGCAATATTGGGCAATACAATAAAGTAATAATTTTATGAGCCGATATCTCAACAGTTAACAGTCCCTCAGCAAAATTGGTGTGGCCTCTCATTTTGTTTCCATCTTCCAACTCTACTACTTGACAGCCACTGGAGCCAAATGGAACTTGGGTCATCTCTACATCTTATTGCCCTTCTTTTACAGAGAAGAAAAGCTCAGGGGGTCAGAAACTGGAGGTGGTACCACATAATACTTTACAAAACACTTTTATAAATAGCCCAACTCAAGACTGAAACCTGGCTCGGCCAGGTGCCAGCTGTGTGACTTAGAAGTTCTCTAAAGTTCCTGAACCTCAGTTCTTCCTCTTATGATTGTTTGGCAAATATACAAAGTTTCAGATAGACTGGAGGAATGAATTCCAGGGATCTATTGCATTGCATGGTGACCACAGCTAATAATAATGTAGTGTATATTTTATAATTGCTGAAAGAATAGATGTTTAATGTTCTCACCACAAAAACATAAGGTGGTGAGGTGATGGATATGTTAATTAGCTTGATTAAATCCTCCTATAATGTATACATAGTTGAAAATACCACATTGTACACCATAAATATATGCAATTATTTGCTGATTAAATTTTTTAAATGTGTATTTCAAGAGAGCTGGATGGAGTCCCTGTCACATAGATCCTGATTATTATCTAGTCCAGTTGGTTATGGCCCCAGGTATATGTTATTCCCTATTGATAATTTGGGAATAAGGTACTGAACTCGATGCAGGTGTGCTGGCTGGGGAAGTGGGAAGCAAGCCCTGGGGTCACTCTTCTGCACAGAACAAGAATGTGGCACGTGGGGTTGAGGTGGCTACGTGGTCACCACTTCTCCCAGCAGCTGAGGCTCAGCATTGTGTGTGGCTCCTACAGGTTGGAAGACTGCTGGACCACCCCTAGAAATCGGATGGATCTTACCAGTAATCTTCAAGGGAACGTACACCTGAAGACGCTAATGCTAAGGAAAAGTTCCCTGGAGAACTTTGGGGAGCATAGCCTGTCAATGGCCTGGCTGGAGAAGCTGTCGTAAGTCTCCGTTTTGGGGTGGTGGTGGTTTTTGTTGTTCAGATTTAGCTCCTGTGGGAGAAAAGTTTCTAGGGAGATGGTACATATGTTGGAACAAACATAAGCCTTGATTGACATATTGTACAGATAGGTCAATAAGAGTCCAACCAAGAGAGAATGAGGAATAAAATCTACCAAAGGTGCATGTCAGTAGTTATACCTGATATCCTAGATTGCATCATCACCATGAGCCCTGGGTATCCACCGTGCAGCTTATGCGGTAGAGCGAGAGTTTGTCGATCCTGCCCTCACCATGATAACCATCTTGCACTGAGTTGATCAGACTCCTTAAATGCTATTTATAGTTTAACTACACACACGTCATGAAACGGCATCACGCAGATTTGCATTGCTTTGGGTTTTAGATGAATGGCATCATCTGCTATGTGCTCTTCTTCTGATCACGATTTTAGTGTTCATCTTTGTTGAGCTGCTTCCACAGTCAGTTCCTCCTCACCACCAAGTATTTGTGTGAGTATACCCCAGTTTAGTTGTGCTTCCTACCTGCAGTGGAGGCATGGGCTGCCCCCAGTTGTCAGCTATGCACGCACACACGTGCACACACACACACTGCGCACACGTGCTGCAGTGAACAGTCTGGAATTTCTGGGCCGTGGAGAGTGTTTATGTCCAGTTTTGCTGGCTTATTTCCAGATGTGCCATCTGCAGTCCCACCAGCAGCCTGTATGAATGTTCCCATGACCCCAGATTCTCATCCGGTCTTCCAATCAATATCCTTGTTACTATAGCTTGGGCCCATCTGTGGAGCAGGAGATGGTATCTTGCTGTTTTAATTTACATTTCCTTGATTACTAGTGGACATTTTCTCATAATCTTACTATTCATCCTACTTTTTCTAATATGCGTGCCTTCTCCTGCATCTTTCTTTCTTTCTTTTTTATTTTATTTTATTTTTAACTTCTGAAATGATGTCTCTTCCTGGGCCATCTCCATATCTGCTGTTTACTCTTTGGTCATCGATGGTCTGTTTCTCTTCCCTATTAACCCCACCTCTAACTCTTCCCTTGACCCACGATTCGTCCACCCACCTCTTTGCATCAGAGCTGCCATCTTATCCTATAAATCTCAGAAGACTTCCCAGGTGACAGTGGAGGGGTGAGGAGACTTTTGCATCGGGAGGAGAGCCCAGACAGAAATTATCATCCCTCAGTGTGAGACAGGAAAACCCAGCCATGGGGAAGAATCAAATTGCATCTCTTCTGTGTGCTTCTCTCCCACAGGCTGGAGAACTGTGACCTCACAGAGCTCACCTGCAAAAGCCTTGTCTCCTGTCTCAGGCGCAGTGAGAGGCTGACCCACCTAAGCTTGGCAGAAAACGCCTTGAAAGACGACGGAGCCAGGCATATTTGGAACACCTTAGAACACTTGACGTGTCCTCTACAGAGGCTGGTGTAAGTCCCAAGGTATTTTCTTCTTGGAGTGCCCTGCATCAGAGTAGTGGGATTGAGAGAACCTGTCATACATTTATTTATTAAGTGCCTGCTGCACGCTAGGCATTGTGCTGATGTGGAGGTGAGAGCAGAGCATAATAAAGAGGAGGGCTGCTATCACTTCCATTTCAGAGGCAGATTATCCACTGTCAGAGTCCTCATCTGTGTGCCAGTGCACCTGGAGTGAGCTCACAGAGGGACCACAGGGCGATTTCAATTTAGGGAACATTGACATCTGTTCATCACTGCAAAAACTTCTAGCTCGAGGTCATTCCGTTACAGCATGAGATTATGGGCTAATTCCTTTTATATGACATCATGTCTTTGCAAAGCTAGGTTTGCAGCCATTGCTGTCATGGGAACAAGTGCATCGCAATATTTAATGAGGAGCAAGGATGATGTAAAAAAAAAAAAAAAAAAAAACTACTGAGATGCTAAGGAGGGTGTGAACCGAGAAGGTCTGGAAACCTCTGATGGAATGTGCTCCCTGCCTCCTGGACATTCGAGTGAGCGTCACGCCTCTGAGATCAGAAAAATGCAATGGGACCTGGCTTCCTGCTCTAAGAAGTAGGTCATGTCGTTCACTCAACAGAATGGACCAGAAAACATACTAAAGAACATCATCTTGAGTATTTATTCCAACATATAATGAATTCTTCAAATAGTTTCCTTTAATTTCCCTGAAGTGTCAGGGTTCTTTTGTCTTTTACTAATGGAAAATAAACTCAAGCTGTCTTAAGCTGCCAAGAAGTTTGCTGGCTCAGAAAACCACAAGGGCAGAGGTAGAACAGCCTTTACGCTTGGTCCCTGGGACCTCTTCCAACAAGAGCATGTACAACAGGATGCCACTACCAAGGGTCAATGCCAAAGATTTGTCACAATGCCTTCACATTTGTCACAGTCACTCCAAATTCACAGTTTAGAATGTGCCACTTTCTTTTGATGGTGTCATGTCTTTGGGGAAAACCTCAGTGTTCCCAGGTGAGTGAGTGGAGGTCACATGCCTGAGCCCTGATGGGTGGGGACAATGGCATCTCTACCTTCGTCATCCAAGGTGAGAGCTGAGCATTCTGCCTCCTAACAAGACCCTGTAACCTGAGATCCCACAGCAGTGTGAAGGAGATGGGTGCTGGGCAGCCTCTGAGAGTGCGGGCAGATGCTCGCTACTCTAGACAGCCCTGCCAGCCGCTCAGGTCACATCTGAGCTACCTGTTTGCCTAATTATGCCTTTCTCTTCCCCGCTTCTGCCTACTGCATCTCAGATGCATAACTCTCTCTCAGTGGGAAAAGCTCAGTTATGCATTATGTTTTTCTGACCCAGTATGTTGAAATTCCTTTCAGGGGAAATTACTCCACATGTTGACTTTTTTTCTCCTTATATCCAGAATATTTGAGTGAGCCGCTGTGTGATGAGAGTACTGTCGTCCCTCAGAATGCTGGGAGGGTGGTGGTCCCAGGACCCCCACAGATACCATAATTCCCAGATGTTCAAGTCCCTCATATAAAATGGCGTAATGTTTGCATATAACCTACGCACGTCCTCCTGTCTACTTTAAATCATGTCTAGATTCCTTATAATACCTGACACAATGGAAACGCTATGCAAGTAGTTGTTACACTGCATTTTACTTGTATTATTTTTTATTGCTTTTACCCAAATATCTTCCATCTGTGGTTGGTTGCAACAGTGGGAGCAGAGCCCACAGACACGGAGGGTGGACTGTGCTGTGGAACTGAGACAAACTGGTCTCTGGTTCCCAAGGAGCTCACGCTCCACAGCAGTGGCTTCCAGCCAAGAGCGCTTTTGCTCCCCAGGAGACATTTGGCAATGTCAGATATTTTTGGTTGTCACAACTTGGAAGAGAAGAATGCTAGAGGAATCTAGTGGGAATAGGTCCAGGATATTGTTGAGCACCCTACAATGTACAGGATAGGGCCCCAAGACAAAGAATTATCCAGCCAAAAAGTCAACAGTGCTGTGAAGGAGAAACGCCAGCCTCTTCCAGCTCCTCCAGTATCCACCAATTAGGTGCCAGGGGCACCCTATGAATTGCTACTCTGATTTGTTTTTAATTTTATTTTTTAAATGCTTATCATGACCTGCTTAATTGATTTCTGACTCATTAGAGAGCTACAAATCACAATTACAAAAACATCCAGCTTCAAGACATGAGATATAGGCATGATTGGTAATGGCAACTTAATGCAACAAGTGCTTCAGGAGGGAAGCCACAAGGTGCTGTTGTAACAGGTGGATGCCAAAGTGTCATTCAAGTGATGTTCGGGTGGGTAGGAGGTGGCAGCCTGGCAGCTATCATGTTGCCGCCCAGTCTTGCCTATTGCCTGGATCCTGAATCAGTGTCACCTTTAGAAAAGTCTTCTCTGACCATGCTCCTCAAAGTGGCCCAACCTCACCACACTTACTAGATCATCTTCCACCTTATTGCTGTGTTGTTTTCTTGCTAAGTATTTGTCACAACCCACAGTGTACAGGGGCCCATGAGAGCCAACTGAGTCTCTTCCCAACTCCACTTTTGGGAGTGTCATGTCACAGCATGAAATCAGCCATGGTGGAAGTGTTTACACCACAGTAATTGGCAATCACTACAAACCAAGGAGTTTGCTTGCTTTTTTGTTTGCTCCAGAGAGCTGGTTTACCAACACATTCTCCAAACCACAGCTATCTCATTTGCCTCTTTATTTTTTGTCTCACATTAAACTCTGAGCTGCCAGAGAGCAGGGGCCTGTGTGAATTCCCATCACCTAATCCAATGCCCAAAGCACAATAAAGCTCAGCAAATGTTTGTGAAATGCATGGAGTGGCACAAGTCCTGAACCATTGACATAGATTCCCAAAAAGAAGCAGGAAATGTTCCCACTGCTTTGGGAAACTATGTTGGTAGTCCCTCAAAAGGCAAAATATACCAAATTAACATAGTCTATGTTTCCCATATCCACATGAAAACTTGTACACACATATTCATGGCATTTATTCAAAATGGCCAAGAAGTGACAACAACCCAAGTGTCGGTAAGCCGATGAAGGGGATGAAGTGTGTGGTATATTCAGACAACAGAATATTATTCAATCATAAAAAGGATGAAGAGCTGATTCATGATACAACATGAATGACGAATCTTCAAAATATTGTGCTCAATGAAAGAAGCCGCGTATCTTATGATTCCATTTCTGTGACATGCCCAGGACAAGAAAATCCCTAGAAAGAGAAAGCAAATTAGTGCTGCTGTGGCTGGGGTGGGTTGAGGGGAAGAATTGGGCTAAAAACCAGTGGTTTGTATGTAAATGGGTGAATTGCACGGTGTATTGATTCCATCTTGATAAAGCTATTTTATATACAGATATATATGTGTGTGTGTATATATATATATATATATGCAAGTGCAAGGAAGAAGTAAAACCTAAGGGTCTTTTGGTTGGTTTTTCTCGACCTGTGTTTCTTTGCAGGCTGAGAAAGTGTGATTTGACCTCCCGTTGCTGTCAGGATATAGCCTCTGTGCTCCCTAATAGTAAAGCCCTGAGAAGTCTGGACCTGGGTTTGAACAGCCTGGGGGACGACGGGATCCTCCTGCTCTGCGGGGCCCTGCGGCATCCCGACTGTAAATTACAGATCCTGGAGTGAGTGGCCTCTGGTTTCCTTCCTGGTGACCAGGAGAATTGTATAGAAAACTCTTGGGATGGAATATAAGAAAATGCTTTCTAATTTCTGGTTGATTGGAAGATGGGGACACTCCTGAGCAGTGTCTCTCGAAGGATCATCCTCAGATTGGGAGCGTTTTCATCCAGGCTGTGGTTTGAAATGCAGTTCTTGGGCCCCAGACTGCGGGAATCAGAAACTCTGGGGTGGGGGGAGACCCAGAAATCTGTGCTTAACCATTGTTTTAGGAAATATTCTCCCAGTTTAATACAAGATGAAGAGTCTGTCGATTTTAGACTGATACTTAAGATAGTCTCATGGAAATCGATCTTTATGCTTAGGGTTTTGTGGGTTTTTTTTTAAATATATATATATATATATTTCTCTTTTCCTCTCCTGTTTGGTCTTTGCGCTGACATGTATAATAGCCAGTGAGAGGAAAGGATTCATCCTGTTTTTAATTCTTTGAGTAGTTGCCTTAAGTATTTGGAAAAGACTTGTAAACCTCTCTTCTCTGGTGGTCAAAGAGTGAAACTATTTTTACATTTTCTACCTACATTTTCTGTTCTCCATTAGCATAATCTGGATTTTAACTCTAGATCACTTAAATCATTTTTGTATTACATCTTTCCTTAGTAGGATTAATTTTGTTTTGTTTTGTTTTTGGTATACTTAAAATATTTTATAACTTTAACATTTTATCAGAAAACAAGACTTTCTTCTTTTTTTAGTTGTAACATTTTTTATTCTGGATAAAAGTTCTTTGTCAGATATATATTAGGCAAATGTTTTCTCCTATCTGTGACTTGAGTTTTATTTTCTTTTTTTTTAATTTCAGAATATTATGGGGGTACAGACATTTTGGTTCCATATAAGGCCTTTGCCTTGTGTTTGTTTTGTTGGTGATTCACTCCTCCAGGGTTCTTCAGGGCTCACTGTCAGTCACAATTCTTTCACTCCAAAAGTTTAGTCTTGGGTTGTAAATGTCCATTTATCTCTTAGAAGAGGTGAAAATTGTTTTCAAGTATGAAAGAAATTTCCATACTTGAAAGTGTTTATGTCATATTCTCTCTAAGTCTTTGCTTAGGTGAGACTATTGTTTTAAAATCTACTTTCACCAACGAGCAATAACTAGGCTCGGTATAAAATCCATAGGCCCCATCTGTCTTGGTCTGTTGCTTATAACAGAATCCCTGAAACTGGACGACTTATAAAGAAAAGGAATTTATTCCTCACAGTTATGGAGGCTCGGAAGTCCAAGGGGCTTGGGGCGCTGCAGAGTCCTGGGAGGTGCGGGGCGCCACGTGAGAGGGGGCTCAGGTGCCAGCTCCGGCCTCTTCCTCCTCTTACGAAGTGCATTCCATGAGATCCAGTCCCATCCCAGTCCCATCCCATGAGAACCCACTAATCCATGGACCCATCAGCCTATGACTTGACTGTGACCCACTCACCTCTCAATACTGGGGACTAAGTCTCACTATGACTTTTGGTGGGGACAACTATTCAAACCATAGCCCCATCCTAAACTTCTTGATCTAACATTCCCTAGATTTTATAACATTCTACAGAATTCTACTTTTGTAGGAAAAACACCTATATTTTCCCAGGGGGAAAAATGAGTTTTTATTGTTTATTCTCTTCATTTAAAAAATATTCCTCACATACATGTAGGTCTTATTTATAATGAGTAGTAATTATTTTAAAACAACCAATTTAAATGATGTGTAATTTAAAACTGCTCTTTCTACTGTTAAAAGAAAATGATTTAAGCAACTCAAACAGAGGTAAAAGCTCTACTTATTACAGCTGCTCAGGTGGCACCTGAAGACCAGGCTCCTCCCTGATTGAGGCAAGGTCAAGATCTTATTTTTATTTCAAAATATTGAGGGGGTACAAATGTTTTGTCACCTGGATACCTTGTATAATTTAATACTTAAGTCAGGGCTTTTAGTGTGCCCATCACCAGAATAGTGTTCACTGTGCTCGATACGTAAGTTTGTACCCCTGAGCCCCTCCCAGCCTCCCCTGTTCTTGGTTTCCAATGACCTTTATGTCTCTTTGTGCCCATGTGCGCCAATCATTTAGCTCCCACCTATTGGTGAGAACACATGGCGTTTGGTTTTCCAGCCCTGAGATACTTCACTTAGGGTAATGGTCTCCAGTCCCATCCAAGTCGCTACAAACACATTATTTCATTCCTTTTTATAGCTGAGTAGTAGTCTGTGGTATATATACACCACATTTTCTCCATCTACTTATGAATTGATGGACACTTAGGTTAATTCTATATCTTTGCAACTATGAATTGTGCTGTGATAAACATTCAAGTGCAAATGTCTTTTTTGATAAAATGACTTCATTTCCTTTGGGTAGATACCCAGCAGATGACCATTTAGTCTTTGTTTTTGTTTCTGTTTATGTGGTGGATCACGTTTATTGATTTACATATGTAGAACCATCGTTGCATCCCTGGAATGAAACCCATGTGATCATGGTGAATTACCTTTTCATGTGTTGTTGAATTCAGTTTGCTAGTATTCTGTTGAGGATTTTTGCTTCTCTGTTCATAAGGAATACTGGTCTGTAGTTTCCTTTTTTGTTGTACCCTCTCCTGGCTTTGATATCAAAGTGATACTGGCTTCGTAGAATGAGTTAGGGAGGATTCCTTCGTTTTCAATATTATGCAATAATTTCTACGGGATAGGTACCAGTTCTTCTTTTTAGGTCTGGTAGAATCCGACTATGAATCTATCTGCTCTGGGGCTTTTGTTGTTGTTGTTGTTGTCGGGAGGGTGTTTGTTTGTTTGTTGTTTTTTTATTATTACTGCTTCAATCTCACTGCTCATTACTGGGATGTTCAGAATTTCTATTTCTTCCTATTTTGGGCTTGGGAGGTTTTGTTTTCAGGAATTTAACCATTTTCTCTCCATTTTCTAGTTAGTGCGGATAGAGGTTTTCATAGTATTCACAGATGATATTTTGTATTTCTGTCGTATCAGTTGTAATGTTTCCTTTTTAATTTCTGATTGAGCTTATTCAAGTCTTTTCTTTTCTATCTCAGGTTAGTCTGGCTAGTGGTCTATCAATTTTGTATATCTTTTCAAATAACCAACTTTTTGTTTTGTTGATCTTTTGTCTTGTTTCCTGCTTTCCATTTTGTTTAGCTTTTATCTGAGCTTTGTTATTTCTTCTCTTCTGCTGGCTTTGGATTTGGTTTGCTCTTCTTCTTCTAGTTCCTTGAGCTGTGACCTTAGGTTGTTAATTTGTGATCTTTCTGTCTTTTTGATGTAGGCCTTTAATGGTATTAACTCTCCCCTTAGGATTGCTTTTACTGTATCCTATAGATTTTGAAAGCTCATGTCCCCTTTGTCATTCAGTTTGAGGAATCTTTTGGTTCCTTTCTTAATCTCATCACTGATCCAAGGATCATTCAGCAGATTGTTTAACTTCCATGACCTTGTGAAGATTTGAGCATTTCTATTGGATTTGATTTCTAGTTTTATTCCACGGTGATCTGAGAAGACACATGGTATGATTTCTTTTTTTTTTTTTATTAATTCGCTGAGACTTCTTTTGTGTCCTAAGACGTGAGTAATCTTGGAAAATGTCCCATGTGCGGATAAGGTCAGGATTCTTACCAAGTATGGCAGAGTCAAGTACGCATCCTTGAAGTTGTGACTTAGGTAGCAGTTTCCAACTTTAACTACCGCTAACAGTCGGGGGTTGTTTGTGTTTGTGTGCCTCTTCCTCAGAGGAATGGGTGTAATCCTGGTAGACATCAGGACAATGTTTTCCAAGAACTATTTTTTTTTTCCAAATCTTGTTCTTTATTGACTAGTCAAGGTTATGGGGCAGGATACATAGATGGTGAAAAAGAAAGAAAAGAGGGGAAACGTAGATGACCCTCTGGGTGTCTGCTTTGTACTGCTGGTAAGAGCCCTGCCCCCGGGAGACTCCACTCTCTGTCCAAGGACAGGGTCCAAGGCTGCCGGTTTCCATGCCTTCCCCTCACCACACACACAATGCAATACACAGACTTCTCTGCTGTGGCGTGCTTGTTCACTTGTGGACCTTTGGCTTCCGTTTTGCTGTTAGTGCTGTATGTGAGGGCAAAGTGACTATTCCTAGAAGGATCCAAACACCTGGCCTGTGAGGATAATCAACCCATGCTATCTGAATATATTTATGAGGTTACCTGCCTCTTCCCCCCCCACCCCACCCCAGTCAGCCGTGAGTTCCAGGAAGCCAGGGACGGCGTCTGATTTGCCTCCCCTTGTGTTGAGAATACACAATATGGCACCTGGCACGCAGGTAGTATAAATAAATATATTTCAAGTGAGCAAAGATAAGTCATTACAATGAATTTTTGAAAGACATATTTGGCTCATAATTTCATACAGTGAGGACTTTCATAGCCTGATCTTGAAAATGACCCAACATACATCAAAAAACTGATGGACTGCAGGTATTTAGCACACATTTGGGGTGGAATCACTTGTTCTCATCCATGTGTGATTTCCAGGCTGTAAGCCACCGTGTTGGTTGGGCTCTCAGATATGGGATGTGGTGACTTTCCTGCTGTCTGCTTCTGCCTTTCAGGCTGGAAAAGTGCCTGTTTACCTCCGCCTGCTGCCAGAGTATGGCCTCCGTGCTCTGCAGCAACAAAACCCTGAGATATCTGGATTTGAGTCAGAATGACATCGGAGTCAACGGCATACTGACCTTGTGTGGGGCCTTCTCGAGCCAAAAGCAGACCGAAGAGGTCATTTTGTAAGTCTCCGCTAGGTCCCCTATGCAAAATCGATCACCCAACAACAAAGGTCCTTCTAGAGAGCGGAATGCTGGACCTAGAATGCTGTTGTTGTAGACACTGCCACCATCCACTCTCAGTTCCTGCAGTGCACAGGTGCCTTGCTGTGGCTGCTCCAACCCCAACTCCTGCCTTCGTCTGACGGAAACATTGACCTGAATTCTCCTGTCTGATATTTTCTTTCTTTTCTTCTTCATCTTCATCTTTTCTTCATTATTGTTTGTTTTCTTCATCTTTGCTTCTTATTTTGAACAAGAGTTTGCTATTCCCACTGACCAGCTATATGGCTGTGAACAAGTTTGCCTACCTGAGCCTCAGTTTCCTCATCTGTAATATTGGGATGGCATCTTCACCCATGGGGATATTTCGTGAAGATGGAAAGAAAATGTACACGTAAGGCACTTAGCACAGTGCCAGACACTGTGTTATGTTCTCAACCAGTAGTGGATTTTGAGGAAAGGTTATAATTTTCCCAGTGTATTAGTTATCTATTGCTACATAATAAATTACCTCAATACTTAATAATTTAAAACAACGAACACTTATTGTCTGACACAACTTCTGAGGGTCAGAAATACAGGAATGGTTTAACTGTGATTCTGGCTCCTGATGTCCCACGAGGTCTCAGTTACGCTGCTGGCCAGGGTTTGGTGGGGGCTGTCGAGCCCGCCGCGTGGCCATGGGCAGGAGGCTCGGCTACTCTCCAGAAGGTTGCTCGTGACATGGCGGCCGGCTCCCTCCCAAACAAGGGACTGAGAGACATGGTGGCTGGGAGAGATGATTGACAGCCCAAAACAGAGCCACACTCTTTTGTTATTTAATCTTGAAAGTGACACCCATCACTTCTGCCTTGTTGTGTCTGTCACACAGACCAACCCTGGCCCAGTGAGACAGGGAACATACAAGGGTGTGAGCAGCAGGAGGTGGGATTGAGGCCATCGTGGAGGTTGCCTGCCACACCCAGTGGGTGGCTGAATGAGGACACTTTGAATCCAGGCCTGAGTTCTTGAGAGCCGCCCTGCTGGTGGTCTTGATCCACCCCATGGGGCCAGGGTGGTAAATTCCTATTCTGGAGGTTTTGTGCGCTTTTCTAGGACTGCAAAATAAAACCAAACATAAGAGAACAAAACCTGATTTTTGTCCTTCCCAGGGAGAAGAAAGAGAGCGGTGAAGTAGACATGCTGCCCAGACTGGAGGGCCCGGCCGTGGAAGGGGACTTCCTGAAGATCGTGCAGGACTGGAACTCCTAGAGCTCTGGCGGAGCAGGAGAGATGAATTTATCTAGTGGCACCCCCAGCTCAGACATTTTTCTTCCTGATGAAATACCGGGAACCGGTTGCCTGTTCTGTGGGCCATTCTGAGTCCGGGGTGGCTCGGGCACCTCTGGGAAGCAGCTCCCCCAGAGCTACAGAGTGCCAGTGTCTGGACACAGACCGGTCACTGAGTCAGGGCACCAAGGTGCGGGGGTTCCAGCCACATCTACTCCTGGCCACTAGAATGTCCTCGAATATGTCACGTAAACATCTCCTCTGGGAAATGTCTCACCTCCAAGTATATTGGAAGAATTTAATTAAAATTGTGCATAAATGCAATTCAAAAATTTTTCAAGTGTTATTTATTTACCAGTAGACTGATAACATCGACTGTTAGGGAAGAAGTGTGTGTGTGTGTGTGTGTGTGTGTGTGTGTGTGTGTGTGTGTGTGTGTTAACTTGTCTAGGGAAAGTGTCCACAGGAAATTTCCAAGGAAGATAATATAGGTGCTGAAAAAAGGAAATCACCTCATGTTTAAGAAACTCTAAAAATGAAGTGCGACTCTTAACTTGTTTAGGTCCTAGCTAACTAGTACATTCTTAAAGTAGTTGTAGAAGCATTTAGAACTCAAGGATCTAGAAAACAATCACAATACTTTTTTTTTTCCCATTTGAAACAGTCATCTTTTTCTACGTAATGATCAAGTTTTATCCACCTTGGCTTCTCCACTCTCAGAAGGAAATTTTGTTCCAAAAGTTGGAGTAGTTGGGATCCTCAACCCCACATCCCTTTCTTAAGGGGTGGACACAACAGGCCCTCCAAGGTCAAACTCTGTGACACGGACTGGAGCCCCTGGAGTGAATCGGAAGGTGGCGCCACAGCGATCCCCGGTGAAGGAGGTGAAGCTGACGATGCCAGTGAGAGGGTCCCTGGGATCACTGGGGAGAACAAGGCTGAAAATAGGACGGCGGTTTCCAGTCTTGGTGGCCCATCGTATGACATGGGGCTCTTTGAAAGCACTGTGGCTTCTCACAGGCTTGTCTCATTTAACGCAGTGCCCTCCAGGTTCATCTATGTTGTCAAAAATGCTGGGATTTCCTTCTTTCTGTGAGGTTGAATAGCATTCCATTGTGTGTGTGTGTCTCAGATTTTCTTTCTCCATTCATCTGCTGGCAGACACTTGGGTTGACTCCACACCTTGGCCATTATGAACAGCGCTGCAATAAGCATGGGGGTGCAGCTATGTCTTCACATACTGACTTCAGGGAGCACAAAGGAACTTTCTGAGATGACACAATGTCTGTCTCTAGTCAGGGATGTGGTTACATGGGTGCCCGCCTTTGTCAAATCTCTCTCAATCCTATGCATAAAACATATGAATTTCACTGTATGCAAACTTCCCATTTTTAAAAAAGGAACAAGTAATGAACTTCAATCTAGTAGGTTTTCTTTTTACAGTATTATGGTTAGCAATTTTGAAACTACCTTCTGTGTGTTCTGGACTTGAAGAAATGAGTAACTACATTGAAGAGTATTGAGAGCCAGCCTAACCAGTTGATCCACCACTGGTTAATGCACCACTGGTTAATTCCTATTGGGGAATGGAATTACAAAGGTGGAAAACAGATTGAGTAGAAGGCACCCTGTGGTGGTTTGAGATTGAATAAACTGGGGCAGTGTGGTGGCTCACACCTATAATTCTGGCACGTTGGGAGGCTGAGATGGGAGGATCACTTGAGGCCAGGAGTTCAAGACTGCATGTGTGGACTCATGATGGTAGACAGATGGACATGAATGTGTGTATAGATGCACACACATGTATTTCCTAGCTCTTTGTGTTACCTCTAGAAGCAATGGCATCATAGACACAATAAGCACAGCAGGCACCCAGGTATTTTCTAAATATATCATTCTTCACTAAAATGAACCAAAAATCTTTAGAAAAAGGGTTGATTCCACAGTTGGTGCTGGGCATGTACAACATGAGACTGGAACATCTTGTGCCAGAAAGTAGCAAAGTGCTTAAAGAATGATGGGACCAGCACTGGGGACAAGGAGACTGAAGAATCGGCTCCCGCTCACCAAACCTGGGATGATTTAGCCATCAGAACAATGGTATGAATGGATTACCCTCAAATGAAAACCCATGAGTCTACAGTGACATAAATAATTTATATATTTAATTGTAGTTGAAATGGAAACGGGTAAAACTCTCCTTTACAATAGATTACCAACAAGAGATGATAAAAGTGAACAAATAAGCCGGGCGCAGTGGCTCACGCCTGTAATCCTAGCACTCTGGGAGGCTGAGGCGGGCGGATTGCTCGAGGTCAGGAGTTCGAAACCAGCCTGAGCAAGAGCAAGACCCCGTCTCTACTATAAATAGAAAGAAATTAATTGGCCAACTAATATATATATAAAATTAGCCGGGCATGGTGGCACATGCCTGTAGTCCCAGCTACTCGGGAGGCTGAGGCAGCAGGATTGCTTGAGCCCAGGAGTTTGAGGTTGCTGTGAGCTAGGCTGACGCCACGGCACTCACTCTAGCCTGGGCAACAAGCGAGACTCTGTCTCAAAAAAAAAAAAAGTGAACAAATAAATGAAGAAATGATGAAGTTAGAGAAGCCATCAGTAGGTGCTAAAACTGGGAAGCGGAAACTTGATGTACTTGAATAAATCTTTAAGTACCTCACTGAAGATTACATATGAATTATAATGGTAAAAATAGTGGAGAAACAGAGAAGATATTACCTTAAACAAGTAACAAAGTTAACATCACCAATAATGAGACAAAATGATATCATGCACCTCCTGATATGTTGTGCTGAGAAAAACACATCACATCAGTAATACAAAAGATCAAGAACACAAGGAAAGTTGGAGGAACTATTCCAGACTGAGGGAGACCAAGCCAGTGGATGCAGAAAAATATTTGATAAAATTCATCAATTTGTTATTTTTAAAAGCCTTTAGCAAACATATAACAGATGGCAACTTCCTCAATTTTAGAAAAAGCTTATAAAAAATAACTGCTCACATCATATTTATTGGAGAATAATAAAAGCTCACCCCCTAAACTAAAAAGTGAGTCAAGAAAACTCACTGTCACGACTTCTATTTAACATCATACTGAAAGTCCTAGTCAGTGCAACAAGGCACGAAAAGGAAATAATAAATATAAGATTGTAAAGATGGCAATAAAACTATCATTTTTTTTTTTTTTTTTTTTGGCATATTAGTAAATTCCTATTCTGGAGGTTTTGTGCGCTTTTCTAGGACTGCAAAATAAAACCAAACATAAGAGAACAAAACCTGATTTTTGTCCTTCCCAGGGAGAAGAAAGAGAGCGGTGGG